TTTCGGCCAAAAGTGTTTTCTACCTGAGCTCATTCTTTTGGTGAAAAAATAATTGAAAAAAAAACTTTTTCAAAAAGTGGTTGGATACTCCTGGATTTACCCTACTACGTTTCTCGAGAACCTGCCATTCAACACTCTTACATCTCGCTTTTCATGATATTCACTGACATTTTTTCCACTCTTCTTCTGTCGCTCAAGCGCTAGATAATCCAGTTTTCACCGTCCATGCATAGAATCACATACAATGATGATGATAGTTTATTGACTTTTTCATGAACAAATGCTATTTATCTAGAAAAGACAGGTCTATGTCGCGCAAATTTAATCAGTAGAATCAAAGAGTGCCATAAAATGACACGTTACATTTTGTATCGATACATAATTTTGACATCCAGGCTAGGAGGTGCGACACCAAATCCTACACGGCCACGTTTTTGTGCTGTGGTTATTTCTGTGTCGATAAACTTGAATTCCATGTAGCGTCGTAACAGCATGGCAAAACAAATCTTGATGTCATTTTTTGCAAAGAATCGACCTGGGCATATGCTCTTACCACTGCCAAATGGCAGAAAACCAGCAATATTATCTGCATTTTTATTAACAAATCGATCGAAGACGAATTTGTTTGGATCTGGAAATAAGTCTGCATCAAGATGTGTTATGGGAGCAAAGTAGGCAACCGTTTCATTAGGCTTTACGTTCAAGATACGTCCATCTTGTAGAAGGATTTGAGTTTCTTGCCGACATTTTCTTGTCAAGAAAGTACTAGCAGCAAATCTTAATGTTTCATTTATTGCACTTTCCAGATAAACGCACGAGTTTAGCTTTTCCACAGTCCATTCTTCGATAACTGAATCAGCCTTATCATTATCAAGCGAAGAAAACGGTAAGTGCTCATCAATTTCTTGTTTGATTACTTCCAATGCTTCTGCGTTTTGTAAAATATGAAATAGACACCAAAAGACGGTTGGAATAGTGTTGCCAAGTGCGCCCCACAAAAGAGTTGTCTGAAGGGCACCATGATCCTGCCCTGAAAGCCAGTTGTAGTTGTCTTGAATAAGTACTGTTCGAGCATGACTCAATTCAGATTCTTGAGATGGATGTAATTTTGCCAACCATGCGCTATTCAATCTGGTACGTGCTGTTAGTGCTTTTGTGAAAAACCATGAATACATCCAGGTAGGAAGTATTGCACCAAAATAATGTATTTTATCGTCGAATAAACGAAAATCGGTTTCAAGCGAATGTGGATCAATCTCTCCAAATAGTGCAAAAGTCATTGGTTGAAAAATCATACGATGACTAAACTCGAGCAGTCCCGACTGTGTCCATTGACACATGATGCTATCATTAACAAGTGTTGCTTTTTCATTTTGCATTGATCGCGTAGTCGACGAATAAATTCACCGATCATGGGACGCAACCCATCGCGATTCCTTAAATACTGTACGTACTGACGATGAACTTCTGTATCAAATTCCGGATGACCTTTGAAATATCAGGATTTTTAAAATTCGCTATAATTAGAACACACATTGATACCTACTCAATAAGCTATCTGATACACCAAACATATGTATTACACAGAATTAATTTCTGCATCTTTTGATATATAAACAAAGTTTCTCAATTGAAACCATTAATTACAAAATTAATTTAATTTGAAAAAGTTTGAAAAGTTGGTTGAGAACTAGTTAGGAGTCTAGGTGATGTAACTAAAACATTGTATGAAGTTATAAATGAGTGAGATCGATAGAGCACAAAATTCTCTATCTTTCTACCTAGAAAAAGTAACTATTGAGCCTCAGACAATGGGATAGAAATCTCAAAAAAGCATATGACAAAAG